AATTTTTTTTACTGTGCTTCTCGTCAAATTACTTAATACTGGGCCATTTTGAGGCCAATGGTACACGTTGATGGTCGAATATTAGGCAAACTTCGTCTCAAACTGTAGATCGTGTTCTTCCAATGGCATCTACAACTCCAGCCCAGTTCTCCAAGGGTTCGGGGCTTGGGGAATGGTCCGATAGCAGACGGTCGCCTTACCCGGTGTGCTAATGTGGTTCATATCAACCAACATTGGTTCATTGATACCACACAAAATGCTTTAAAGTATGGACGAAAATGGTGGTACTGACGCTGAACCAGTATGACGAGCATGTTAAAACACAACAGGGCTCCTTATATCATCTGTAAACTCATCAAGGTGGTTGTTCCGGAACATCTTGACCAATGTGTTTTATGTGATTAATTTATCCAAAAAAAATCTTCCCCGCCAGGAGTCGAACCTGGAATCTTCTGGTTTCAGAAGTAACTACTGAATCGTAGCCAGACGCCGTGACCATTGGGCCACGAGGAACAGATTTGAAAATCCGAGGTATCAGAATCGAATTATGGATCGGATTATGTCAGCAAGCATAGCCGAACCAGAAGAAGAGCCGAGGAGTTACAACATATGCCGAATCAGAAGAGAAAGAGCTAGTAAGAGCCGAGGAGTTACAACATACGCTGAATCAGAAGAGAAAGAGCCAGTAAGAGCCGAGGAATTACAGCAGTCGACTAGATTCAAAGAGAGACTGAGAAAACGTTAGAAATAATATATAAAGAAAGAATCCGGCGAAGAAGATTCTTTCAAGAGGAAGTTTAGAAAAGGGGGAAGCAATTAATAGAAGTTCAAGTTTACCTTAAGGAAACCGTAAGCTCAGCATAAACCGCAGAGCCAGGATTCATACAACGAAGCCGGGAGGGAGAAGCCAACGTATAACCGTTACAACGATAGAAGCGAGAACAGGGTGTTCGGGACTTTGTTGTATTTGATAACGTGAAGAGGGAGAGCTCACACTTGATAGCTTCTCCAAGGGCTAGGCAATACTGAGCGTAAGTTGACGAAGCTGAAGTAATGACAGGTGTGTGCGATGTTGATTCCAGGGTCAGTGCCCTACCAACAAGGAAGCAGGAAGCGGCATTCGAAAAGATGATAGACTTACAACAAACTGGACCAGTTATCGAATACATTGAGCGTTTTGACGACTTGAGCGAGTTGGTGCATCCAGCATTGCAGAAGGAAGAGCGCTTGATACCGTTCTTCTTAAGGGGATTGCACAGAAGCATCCAGACGACGGTCAGGTTGCAGAGACCAGTGGACATTGCCGACTGTTATCGCCAGGCTCAGTGGGCAGCCAGTGTGATGGAACCGGAATACCGAAGAATGGAGCACAATTCACGTCAACAGAGAGCTAGACGTCAAGGCCAGGCTTCCCATGTTGCTGTAAAGTCACGTGGAGCCCAGGCTTCCCGTGTTGCTCCAGAGTCCCGTGGAGCCCACTACGAAGACAAGGTGGGCTTGTATACTATGACTGCCAGACCTCACCACGAAGACAAGGCTTCCCATGTTGCTGTAAAGTCACGTGGAGCCCAGGCTTCCCGTGTTGCTCCAGAGTCCCGTGGAGCCCACTACGAAGACAAGGTGGGCTTGTATACTATGACCGTCAGACCTCACTACGAAGACAAGGTGGGCTTATACACTATGACCGCCAAACCTAACAAGTGTGCTAATAGAAGAACCTCTGCAGAGAAGAGAAAGGATTGTTACTTGTGTGGTGAGGTAGGCCATTTCAAACGAAACTGCCCACACGCAGGGGGGACTAGAGCACGAAGACCATAGGGTCACTACAAAGGTTTAGTCGAGGCTTCTCAGATCGAGAGATTGGCGAAGAGAGTGTGGAACCATGTGGTATTGATACAGATTGAGGTTCTCTATGGTGAGCCATCAACCTCACAGGAAAGGCATTCCACACAACCAGAACAACGGTACAAGAGGTTCAGGCGATGATTAACGAGAATACGGAGGTGGTTACTGATGAGGAATATAAGGGAGAGCCGGTTGAAAGAGAAGTCTCAGACAGAAGAAGTCCTTCTTTAGGTGGGGGTCAATAGAGCAGGTTACGTGTTCATTTCCTATGTATAAAGTACTTGAGCACTCTTATACAAAAACTTTTTGTAAAGGAAGCCACATCACGAAACTAGAGGTTGTCAATATCGTTGAACAAATCAGTAAATCTCTGCTCTTGATACTTGACGCTTGCTTTAAATTTCTCAAAATCAAGCTTCAACTTAGCGTCGAAATAAACCAGATTGCCATACGCAACAGTCAATCTGTAAGCAGCTTCAGATGAGGCGTTGTTCACGGTGCCTCCAATGGTTTGTAGTTTGTCCAAGACCAGCTCTGCAAGCTTTTTCGATTGGTACTTGACTGTGTAGATACTGAAGTTCAATAAAACAGTGGCAATTGCGTTGGCGACGTTCACTTGGTGCTTTCCAAGTGAATCAGGGTTGAAACTAATGACTTTTAATAGCTTCGAGGCAACGTCGAGATCAGTTATTATGGATTCACCCCATCTCTCGTTCAAAAAAACGTTGGAAACCATTCTCAACGTCATGAAGTACAGAGGTGGTTGGGATGGATCCAGCCCTATTCTGATTGCCTCCGTCAACACCGCTGGTGGCGTATCCAACTTGTTGATTATATATCTGAGAATGTCAAATCCAACAAGCTTGTTTGACCAGGTTGTAATGATCTCTGAGGAGACAGACAGTAATCCATTGGCATCACCAGTTTTGAAATCGTTTTCAACTTTACTCAATTGAGAGATATCAAACGTTTTTTCAACATCGTTAAACTTCTTTAACCCTTTCAAGATCGAATCGTGGTTATCAAGTGTAAATCCCAAGTACTGTTTGTGTGGAACCAATTTTTCCCTTCTGGTGTCGGCATATGGATTCGAATAGTCTGATTGTTGATTGATAGTAACACCTTGTGTATTTGTAGTGATGAATTGAACAACTTGGTCGGTATAACTTGTTGGCAATTCGTTCTTCTCAAGAAATCTCGAGGCAGCAACATAAGGATTTTCACTAACGTTGTATGGTAATTTCAATGCTGGTTCTCCATCTTTGACGTCAACGTCAAAGACAAAGTCCCATTTTTTACCATCATATTCCACCTTTTTATCACTTGTACTTCCACTAACAACTTCACCAATTTTGGTCCATTTATTCTCAGTCCATTGATACGCTTCATTGACACCTGCAGGTGATTTGACGACAACAACCTGTCCTTCTCTAGAGCCTGGTGATTGTAAAACCTCTGGTGCTGAAGCCTTGGATTCATCGAAAGCCTCGGAATTCAAAGCCATTGATTCCACTGAATCTTGCAACTCCTTGATTTCCTCCTTAGAAGCAGCCCTTTCTGCATCTCTCGTAAAGATACGAATACTGTTATCACTACTCCCAACCACAACGTCATCATTTGGAAGCACTGCAACAGTCCAGACAGAGATACAGGGCAAGCGAATAACCTGATGAGGCTTCCCATCTCTCCAAATTCTCACTGATCTATCCTCACCGCAGCTCACTATATCACCGTTTGAAAGCAGCTTCACAGAGTATACAAAACTATCATGACCAGAGAGTTCCTCGATCAAGTCGCCGTTGAAGTCTGTCACTCTCAAGGTTCCATCGTTTGAGGCACTGATAAACCCTCTGTCTTGAGGTAAAATAGCCAAACTACGAACCACATCGCTATGGCCCACAAAGGTCTTTAGCTCCTGGGACTTATGCCATAGCTTCACAGTTCTATCTGCAGAGCATGTTAGATAGCGATCCTTTCCCAAGATCTTGACGTCCCACACCGACGCGCTATGCCCTTCCAAGGTGTACTTCAGCTGGTTATTCTCCCAAACTTTCGCCGTAGCATCCCAACTACCGCTGATGATCTGGGTGCCATCAGTGTCCAAGGAGCAAACGTTTGACTCGTGTCCAATAAGCGTGAAAGAAGGCTCCAGCTGGACGGAGAAGAGATCTGTGAGGTTGATGAGTTTATCCTGCCCTCCAGATATGATCAGAGTCTTCAACGAGTCGAATGCTAAACTGTTGACGAAGCCACCAGACGTGAAGTTGATCTTTGAGCTCCACACCGCTTCCTTCGTCCACACCCTCACCGTACGGTCTCTCGACGCTGAGATGATGGTGTCGTTGAAGGGCGCAACCAATGCCTTCACGTCATCTTCGTGGCCTTCCAGAGTGGCAGATAATTGGAAATAACCATCCATTGTGCTGTTCCGCCTTGTATGAGTGGTTTCAGTCTCAGGTAAAAAGCTCCGCTTTGAAGTGAGGGAACGAAATGTAAACAAAGGAGCTAGGGCCACCTCCACCAGAAAGCCACAAGAAGTCGCCACCATCCACGAAAACAATTTCGACTGTATCACGTTTTTCCAATGTCCACAACACGTGATACGCTACCCCCGGAATTTCGTAAACGCACACCCGTCGGCCCCTTTTTTCTTTTTGTGTACCGGCTTTTCGCTCCGTACATCATCAACATCAACATCAACATCAACAACAACAACAACAACCCTTAGCTCCCCTGCTTTGTTCCCAAAAACCACATCCACACACTCACAAATGGCTACCCCGTTGCTCTATGCCAAGTTTGAGGATGGCTATATCTTCAAACTGGCTTCTTCTCAGAGCTCTGTGCTTCACATTGGCCTCAATGGATCCCAGCTTGTGAAACCAGGTATGTTACACCTCTGCCGACCTCTGTCTGTTCTGTATATCCATACGAGGTTGTTTGCGTGTCCTTTTGCTTGTGTTACTAACACTAGGATGTAGAGTTCTTCCCTGTGAGTGGAATCAACTCAATCGCCGCTATAATTGGTGTCATTAGGCTTCGTTCGTCTCGGTACATCGTTGTCGCTACAAAGACCACGGAAGTTGGTCAGATCCGCCAGGAATCCATCAACAGAGTCACAGAGTATAAGGTGTTGCCCTTGTCCAACTCGTTTTTGAAGGACGACGATGAGCAGAAATACCTTGAATTGTTGAAATTCCATCTGGACAACGCGCAGTTGCACTTTTCTTATACGTACGACTTGACAAATTCTCATCAGAGACAGGCCCAGCAGAAGTTTGACGTTACCACACCACTGTGGAGAAGAGCAGACGATAGATTCTTTTGGAACCACTATGTCACAGGAGAATTGATCCAACTGGCACAAAATGACTCTCGTGTGGACCCATTCATCGTACCAATGATTTACGGATACGCCAAAATCGTCCACACAACCACAAACAGCAAGCCAATCTCGTTTGGTATCATCACTAGAAGAAGTAGATTGAGAGCAGGAACAAGATACTTCCGTCGTGGTATTGATGCCGAGGGTAACGTGGCAAACTTTAACGAAACTGAACAATTGCTCATCTTGCACAATGCAAAGGATGAATACGACACCTGCAGTTACTTGCAAACAAGAGGTTCTGTGCCAGTGTATTGGGCAGAGGTTAACAACTTAAAGTACAAGCCGGAGCTGAGCATTGGTGAGCCCCCACTAGACGCTGCCCAAAAGCACTTTGAACAACAGGTTGCACTCTACGGTGATAACTACTTGGTCAACTTGGTCAACGCAAAGGGTTATGAGTTCCCTGTGAAGAATGCGTACGAAAACGTTGTCACAGCACTCAACAACCCACACTTGCACTATATATACTTTGATTATCACCATGAGTGCAGAAACTTGAAATGGCACAGGGTGAAGATTCTCATCGACCATCTTAGCCAATTAGGGTTGTCAAGCTCGGATTACTACCACGATCACAGAGTTGGTGCTTCAATTAAGGTGCTCCACGTTCAGCAGTCCATAGTCCGTACAAATTGTATGGACTGCTTGGACAGAACGAACGTTGTCCAATCTACGTTGGGTCACTGGATCTTACAGAAACAGTTGGAGATGGGTAACGTATTACCACAAGGGTCAGTCTGGGAAAATGACAAACTCTTGTTGTTCAAGTTCCAAAACATTTGGGCTGATAATGCTGATGCTGTCAGTAAAGCCTACTCCAGCACCGGTGCTTTGAAAACCGACTATACAAGAACTGGTAAGAGAACCAAGAAAGGTGCTCTTAACGATCTATTGAACTCTATCACAAGATATTACAGAAATAATTTGAGAGATGGTCCAAGACAGGATGCTTACGACTTGTTCCTTGGTCAATTCAGTCCATACAGAGCTGTTGATTCACCATTCAAGGATAACAGACCACCTTTTGTACAGGCTGCTCCATATTTACTAGTTGCCTCTTCTGTTCTTTTCCTTTCTGCTCTGCTATTCCCAAGAGGATCTCTAACCAGCTTAAAGAACTTGTTCTTGTTGGCATCTTGTTTCGCCCTAGCAAGTTTTACTGGATTTTACATAGTTAAGAACGGGATTCAATTTGTGTACTGGCCAAAGCTTGTCGGTCTGGACTATCTCGATAAGCATGACATTATCTCTGATGGTAAGGTGTTGGGTCTCAAGTACACTAAGAGTCCAAAGTATCAAAGTCCAGCAGAGCTTTCAAAGTCTGATTAGAAATATAAAATAGATATTCTCTACGCCTTTCTTGCTCTCTTTCCTTATATAAATGGTCTATATACTATGCTTTTATTTTGCTCCTCAAGAGGCTCAACCTAGTATGCTATCAACGAATTCTTTTGTATTCTCAGCTCTCATCAGTGCTTCTCCAACGAGGAATCCGTGTACATCATCCCCATACTTCTTTGCATCTGCACCGCTCACGATACCAGAAAGAGCAATTAACAACGTTCCCTTTGGTGTCAACGATGTCAAGTTTGAGGTGGTGTTCAAGTCCACGGTGAACGAGTGTAAATCCCTGTTGTTCACACCAATGACCTTTGGGTCCAAAGCCAATGCTCTTTCAAACTCAGCCTTCGAGCTAACCTCAACCAATGGCTCCATACCCAAACTGACAGAGTAATGGTACAATTTCTTCAGAAGAGCATCATCCAGCATCTTAACAATCAATAAGACTGTATCAGCACCTGCAAGTCTTGCCTCCAAGATTTGGTATTCACTAAAGATGAACTCCTTTCTAAGAACTGCAGGCCTGTTTGGCAATTGGTTGATGACTTGACGGACATTTTTCAAATCATCGAGAGATCCCTTGAACCAATGAGGTTCTGTCAGCACAGAGATTGCAGATGCACCACATTGGGCATAGTTAAGAGCTTGAGCTGCGGCATTGGCTTGTAAATCGATAGGTCCTTTAGATGGTGATGCTCTCTTGATCTCAGCGATGAGTGCCTTCTTTGGTGCAGACTGTTGCAATCTGTCGTAAAAGTTCACCAGTGGTGGAGCCAATCCCAATTCCAGATTCTTCTTCAAGTCTTCAAAGGTGAAGCCTGGAATCTGTTGTCTCTCTGCAACGTCGCTTCTTCTTTGGTTATAGATCTTGTCCAAGATTGAAGTTTTCGGTTTTTTCAAGCCAGACTCTTGGATCTCTTCGTGAGAGCCTTCGCCATCCCAATAACCACCTCTGTACGACAGGATATTTCTCATCATACGGTGTCCTTCCTCAGTGAGGATACTCTCTGGATGGAACTGGACACCTTCAATTATGAACTTCTTATGGCGTACGCCCATGATGATTCCCGAATCTGTCTTTGCGGTGACCTCCAAATCATCCGGCAAAGTACTGGTACTACCGGCCAACGAGTGGTATCTGGTCACTGCGATTCCCTGTGGGACGTCTTTGAACATTCCCTTAGCGTCATGGCTAATGGTTGAAGTTTTCCCGTGGACGATCTCACCGGCATAGCCAACTTCACCACCAAATACTGAAAAGATACACTGCTGACCCATACAGATACCAAAGATTGGCTTCTTTCCGGCAAAGTGCTTGATCACATCTCTGGAGATACCCGAGTCCGTCTCTGGGTGACCTGGACCAGGAGAGATCACAATGATGTCAGGGTTCATCTGTTCAATCTCTTCGTTCGTAATCTTGTCGTTTCTGTAGACATCAACCTTTGCACCCTCCTGGCAAAGGTATTCGTACAGGTTCCAAGTGAAGGAGTCGTAATTGTCAATGAGGATAACGTATGTCATGGTTATAAACCTGTCGACGTGCCAATTTCTGCTGTTACAATGGAGTTCAGAAGGAGAAAGTTGGCCGCATTGATCGAGTCATCGAGACGTAAACATTTTTTTGCGAAGCTCTCGACGCCCGGTTGGTGTATGGGTGTTTGCGTGTCCGGGTGTGTGGTCTGTGGTGTCCGGGTGTTTCCACACAGCGCCCAATAGCCCTTAAAGGCAACAACAACAACGTCAACAAAACAAGCTGGGATGCGCCCATAACTACGGAATTAGTACCGAGGCATCAAAGGTTACAACGATGGCAGATGCATTTGAGAAGTCGCTAGATGAGATCATTGGTGATTCGAGGGTATGGGATGGTTGTGTTGCCCGAGCTGAGGCTGAATTATAACTAACTGGTGTTGAAGGACCATTCGAGAAGACAGAGAAGTGAACGTCCTCGTCAAAGACAAGACCGTAGGGATCGCAGAGATGTGGATCTAGAGAGAGGACCACGTAGAGGTGGCTCGAACAGCTACAGGGAGAGAGAATATAAGCCACGTGAGACTAAACTACAGAGGCTAAGGTGTGTATCCCCCCTGTATTCCAATGGAATTGATGATTCCACTTGCTTCTGATTTCGCTAACATTAGTATACAGTGGTGGTGAGCCATATATCAAGATTTCGAATCTGTACTACGAGCTGACACAGCAAGACGTTGAGGTAAGTGGTTGATACGCTGTGGCGTTATATTTGTCCGATTTACTAACCTTCTCGTGATTACAGGAGCTGCTTGAAAGAATTGGGAAGACCAGATTTGTCCTTGTTGAGTTTGCCAGGGATGGACGTAGCAGTGGTGTAGCATACGCCTCCTATGAGAACCCGGACGACAACATCACTGCCGTGAACAAGTTTGACGGTAAGAAGGCTGCCAATCAGATCATTGACGTTGAGTTGATCAAACCACTTGTCATTGGAGGATTCAACCGTAGCAGGGAGAGACATAACCCAAGATCAAGAAGACCGAGACCAAAGAAGGCAACAGCAGAAGACTTGGACAAGGAGCTCGAGCAGTACATGGACAACAAGCCATTCCCTGCTACAACAGAGTGATTACTACTGTGCGTGTGGTGAAAGAGTTTATAAAAGAAAAGAACATACTATTCTGTTTTCCGTTTCTATGTACAACCAAAGCTAGAGAAATCGCAGGCATTCTATTACAAAATTAGACAAGTATCAAGACAAAACTATCTTCTTTTTTCTCTTGCTGTTCTTTCTCTTCTTCTCTAAGATCAACGTAAAAGATAAAGATCAGAAATACGCTTAGTGACCACCACCACCAATCTCGATAGATGGAGGACAGTTCAAAGCTGGCTTCAAGGAACCGTAGATGGTAAATTGCAAGGAAGTCAAGGTACCAACCATAACCAAACGAGTTGGCAAACCAGCAAATGAACCAACAACACCCAATTGCTTGGCCAAGGAGAACAACAAACCCATGGTGGATTGACCTGGAGCCTTCTTGGTCTTGTTAACCTTAGACAACAAAGTGTCAGCTGGTTGGGAAACAATGGCAGCAGCGAAACCAGCAGTCAAACCAGAGGCCAAGTTAACAACGGTGTGGGTACCTTGGGACAAGTCCTTCTTTGGAGTAGAGAAGAAACCGTAGTACAATGAAGAAGCTCTCTCATAGACAAGGAACTTAGCAATGTTGTATGGAATTTGCTTGAACAAGATTGGGGTGAAACCAGCGTAGAAAGAACCGACACCTTCCTCTCTGAAGATTCTTGAGAAACCACCAATCAAACCGTTGGCGAACTCTGGTTGGGAAACCAATCTGATTCTGGTAGCCTCCAATGGACAAAGAGCAATGTCAGCAAAGAACTCAGCAATGGCGGCAGAACCAATGTAGACGGCATCCTTGTACTTGGTAGCGGTCTCAATACCCAAGTAGTCGATGAAGGTCTTCTTGAACAACTCGTAACCACCAAACTTGAAAGCACCTTGGAGGGAGTAACCGAGAACGGTTGGTCCCAAACCGGTCAAAAGAGCGCCAGCACCCTCGTTGGCAATCACTTGTCTGAAAGAACCAACGGTACCCTTGTTGTACACAGTTGGCTCCAATTGAATTCTGGTCTTGACGACATCAATTGGGGTCATGGCACCGTGGGTGGTACCACATCCAATGGCACCGGCAAGGGCGAACTTGGAGTAGTCGGCGATTGTGTATTGTGGGAGGGCGGATTGAGAAGAAGACATCGATGAATATGAATAGAATGGAGTCCTTGAGGGAAAAGAGAAGGGAAAGAGAAGGGAGAAATTTCAACGAGGAAGAGAAATTTTATGGGCGACGTTCCAAGAGCCGTTTTTGTTGTCCGAACCGAAAACGAAATCTAAGGGACAGGAAAAAGAAAAGTGAGGGAAAAAAGCGGGAAAATACTGCGCTGTGATTGGTCAGGCTCTCCCACGCTTTATTCCTTCTGTTCACCAAGTTCCCACACGTTTGAGCCATAACGAACGCGTTTGTTTACCTTTTGGGTGTCCCAGGAGACGGTTCTACGCCTTTCTTCAGCCGTTGTGGTGTTCTTTTTTACTCTACGAGACGTGCTGTGTGCCAGGCTGCTACCAGCAAAACCCCACGGGGGCTGCCTATGGCTGTTGGTCGCTGTGAGGGCTCTCCTTCTCTTGGAGATACAACCAACGGGTGTCGGGAGAACGAGGGAGCAAGGGACTCTAACGGCTAGGCAAGAACTGTGGCATTTCTATCACACAGACGAGTCGAATGGGTTGAACAATCGAACAATTGAACAATGGAGTGTGGTTTCGTCTCAGCGTACTGGACTGCATTTACAAAGGCAATGGCGAAACACAACAACTGCATGCATTCGTGGGAATTGACGAGCTGCTGTGAGCCACCTCCGGGACGAGCAACCCAACCATGGAAGCTCTGCTTTTCGATGATATCATCACTTCAAGCGTGGAAAGTTTGAGATCTAAAGGGGAGATAAAAAAGAAAAGAAACTGAGCTTAGTGAAAAGTTGGCAAAACACCCGCAAAGTGTCCTCGGATTGCGCTCGTATTCGAGAGCATCACAATTTTTCACCCTCGGAATTGCGGCCTGAGCAGATCGGACGGCGTTTTCCTGTTTGGGAACACGACCTTTTCTCTCCACTGTTTATCTTATCGAATCATAGGCATCGGTTTCGAAAGCTACTCGCGTATATAAAAGACCTTTCCTCTCCTCTCTTCCTTCGCCCTTTCTTCAATCGCTCTCCTCTTCATCCTCCACCAACAACAATGGCTGAATACGACATCGTCATCCACAATGGCCATATAGTCACCGCCTCTGACATCCTGGGACCTAAGGTCCACATCGGTATTAAAGACGGCATCATCAAGACAATGACGACCGAGAAGATAACAGGTACCAAGGTTATAGACGCTGAAGGTGCGTACATCACGCCTGGAGGCATTGATGCCCATGTGCATTTGGATCAGGACGATTTCCCGAACGGTGATACTTTCGAAACGGGAACTCGAAGTGCCATCGCTGGTGGTACAACATCGATCATTGCGTTTGCACTGCAACCAAAGGGTCAACATGACTTGGAGAAGGCAGTGGATAACTACTTCGAGAGAACAGAGTGTGGTGCCTACTGTGATTATGGGTTCCATTTGATCTTAAGTGATCCAACTCCTGAGGTTCTCAAGCAATTGCCTAGAATGGTTGAAAGAGGATTGACGAGTTTGAAGGTCTTTACAACTTATCCTATGTACAAGATTAACGATTCAGAGTTGTTGGATGTGTTGTTGGAAACCAGAAAGTTGAAGATAACCATGATGATTCATGCCGAGAACTATGATGTTATCAAATACTTGAACGAAAAATTGGAACAGAAGAAACTAACTGATCCATACTACCATGCTGTGTCAAGACCTGAAGAAGCTGAAGATGAGGCATCTTACAGAGTCATTACTCTCTCGAAGTTTGTCGATACACCAATCCTCATCGTTCATATGTCTTGCGAGGCTTCGATCAACCACGTTGAGAACGCACAAAAGAAGTTGTTGCCGGTGTACGCTGAGACTTGTCCTCAGTACCTGTTCTTGACAAGTGACTACTTAAAGGCTGGATGTGAACACCATGTCCATCCAGAGGATCCGTTTGAAGGTGCTAAATACATCTGCTCGCCACCTCTAAGAGCAGATACCACTGAATTGGACGGTGTTTGGAGAAAGATCCAGAATGGAACCGTCACAATCTTTTCGAGTGATCATGCTCCATCCATCTATGAGCATCCAAACGGTAAGAAAAGAGGTCTCATTAACGGACTGCCACATTATCAGCACATTCCAAATGGTCTCTCGGGTGTTGAAACCAGAGTACCACTGTTGTTCTGCTATGGTGTTGAAACGGGACGTATAACACCACAGAGGTTTGTTGAACTTTGCTCGACAAACCCTGCAAAGATCTATGGTTTGAGCGAAACAAAGGGATCCATCGGTGTTGGTATGGATGCTGATATCACTATTTGGTATCCAAAGGGTAAAATGTTGCCATTTGAATTGACAAACGAAATGTTGCACCACCAAATCGATCATACAGCATTTGCAGGTATGACCTTCACCAACTGGCCAAAGTACACGGTCGTTAGGGGTGAACTAGTTTGGGATAGGGATAATGGTGGAATTGTTGGTAAACTGGGCTTTGGTAAGTTCTTAAAAAGAGGTGCATCTGCGTTGGCTGGTCCAAGAAAGGAACTAAACCCCATCCTTGCTTAAAATAACATTATTATGAATCAATACACATATCTAAACTTCTTGTTCTCAACATCTGTAAGGTCGAGGAACTCGTAGTTCTCCTGATCGTATAACTCCTCGGTGGTTTCCGGTAAAGCATCTCTCAACTTGTTATCACGTCTGGTTAACCATCCAACCAGCAATGTCATTGGAATCGCAGCTGCCTGAGTAACCAGAATTGTGATCTTTGCTGGAATGTAACGTGGGTAAGAGTAAGCCCTGAATAATTGTGGTCCAATGATACTGGCAATGGCAAATGCTATCATCGTCAGAGCATTACGAAACAGCTTCTTGGTATAACCTGCGGTGTTTGCACTATTCCATGCATATATAAGGGTAATGGCACACGAACCACTGTATAACAGGTAAAGACCGAACAAATTACCAATCTTGTTAGATCTTTCGAGGGATAGAAGCATAATGGCACCAACGACAGAAGGGATATACATCGAAACATGGATATATGTCAAATGACCGTATCTTGCAATGAGTTGGGTGGTTGCTAAGATACAAATGATGATAATAACACCTATTGGTATTTGTAGCAAAATCGTTGCTTTACTATTGAAGCCAAACGTTGCTGTGATTGTTGTGGAGAAGGTACCCACAGCACCAGTGACGATCTGCGACGTAATTGTGAGTACAAGCAGAAGCCATGTATACTTGTCTTTCAATAACTCCACTATCTGGTGTCTCTTGAACTTTTTGTTCTCAACTCCTGTTTGGTTTACCCGTACATGCTCAATGACCATTGCCTTCTCCTCGTCTGTTAAGAACCACGCATTGGTGATGTTATCAGGCAGATAGAACCAAACAAAGATTCCAAACGTCACTGTGATGAGACCGAAAACCAGGAATAGAATCTGCCATGAAGCGAATCTTGTCGTATGGACATGTTGAAAGGCAAAACTGAGCAGTGCACCGACAATAGTACCAGTACCTGATTGAATTGCCCAGTAACCAATACGCTGTGCCTGTTCTGGTTTGGTATAGTACATACCACTGATACTGATCAGACTCACAGCAGAGCAACTCTCAAAGATACCGAGGAGAGTACGAACAACCATCAACGAGGCATAAGTGTGGCAGGCACTGTGGCAAGCAAGAACAACACCCCAGAGTATCACAAATGTTGCCAATGTGCGAGACAGTGGGAACCTTTGTAGACAGTAAGACACAAATGGTTCACCAAAGATATAGGCAGCGTTGAAGATGGTACCCAGGTTGGCGAATTCGTTACCTTTCAAGTTTTTACGAATACCCATCATGGCAGAGAAGTTCAATAACGTCTTGTCGATGAACTGGAGGAAGTAGATGGCACACATGAAACTCAAGACGTACATATCTAGTTTCCTCAAGACATGTGTAGGCAGCTTATCCTCTGCTTGACCCACTTTCAAGTCCTGGTGCTTGTTCAAAAAGTTAAGAGCGACATCGCAGTCTTGATTAAGAGTTGAGTCTCCTGAGGAGACATCTGATGCCCTGGAATCAACAGGTTCTTTCTCCGGCTCTGACATTCAAATAGTCCAAATGAAGAGAATACTAAAGACCTATGTAAGTGGCTGTTACACAACTTGGTCTCTTTAAGGGTGTTTTATACAAATCCAATGGGCTTAATTAACCACAACAAGAAAAAAATTTTCCTGCGTCTTCAATCTCATATCTTTAAAGACATAACCTTCTGATGAGCTTACACCTTCGGTAGGGCATATTTCCCTTGATATGCAAGGCTTTAACTGGCATTTATGCGGTTGTGGAAACGTAAAGGTGGGACGGGGATTTTAGACGGGTGTTTTGCATTGGTGTGGATTACATAAGCACCGGAATTGTCTTGCAGGGCGTGATAACGAATTCCGATGAATTTGTGTCAACTTCATGGAAGTGCGTGGATGTTTGGAAGTTTATTGTATTTGACTTATGGTTGATGGTCAATCAGTGCCGGAGAGCATAGGTGGTTGATACATGAGATTTGTGTATGACACCAGGGACAGTCGGCACAGCTTGAACATATTGGAGAGAAAGATTCGCCATTTGGTCAAGAGGACATCCCATCACCAAGCGTAACACAGTGTGGGTTGCTGAGACATAAGAAGCGTTCCGCCAGTGTAGTCCACTCGGCCACCTTGTTAGTTTTTCTTATATGCTCCAATTGACTATGGGCTTGTTCTTGTTTCCTCTGTGCTTCGTTTGCTGGTAGTTTCCCCCCCCCATACACAGTCGCCCACCTTCTCTCACCAATGACCCATCTCCACTGGTGTGGTGTTGGGATGTGTTGTGGTGTTCGTATTGTACAACGATATGTATAGTTAAGCCTTGGTCGGACAAAGCGGGCTTTAAAACGGATATACGGCCGTCTTTTAGAGCAAGCATGACGATAACAGGAACTTGTTATGTGGGGATATAAAGCCATGGATCACCTAGGACTTAAGTATTATCCTGTTTGCAGACCGCTAAACCATGACACCACAACCAATTCTTACATTACACTGGTAAGCCGAGGTGTGTATTTCGTACAGTCAACGCACTAACACATGAACAAAGGCTCGATCAGTCAAGAGCACAACGCATTGTCTGGCTCTTGGAGGAGCTGAACCTTGAGTACAACATCAAGACATATAAGCGTGATAAGGACTTCCGCGCACCCCCTGCTCTCGAGCAGATTCATCCATTGGGAAAGTCACCAGTGTTGGAAATTGAGTACTTGGGTTCGGAAAAGACTAGAGCAATAGCGGAGAGTGGTCACATTGTCCAATTCCTGCTAAGAAATTTTGACAAGGATGGCCTCTTGGACCCGAAGAACGCTGAGGACTTTGACCTCGCTGAGTACCACACACATATGGCTGAAGGTACACTCCAAGCTGTCTTGACATTTGTCCTTGTTCTACGCAATGGACAGGGCAAAGCACCATGGGCTATTAGACCCATTATCAGAGGATATAACGACAAGATCATTGAGGCTTATAACGCTCCAGAAGCGATGAAGGTGTTGGACATGCTGGAATCCACCCTTGCCGAAAAGGCTAAACTGGCGACGAGTTCTTCACAGGAACTGTTCATCGTTGGCCAAAAGTTGTCAGCTGCAGATATCATGTTGAGCTTCCCAGTCGCAGAGTTGTGTATATTTGAGGACAGGTTGAGCACTGCAGGGTTTGATAAGGCAAAATACCCTTACCTGGTTAGATGGGCTCATCAAATCAGAGAAAGGCCGGCTTATATAAGGGCTTTTGAGAAGACAAGTGGATACTGATTGCTGACTTGTGCCCAACAGATTAGCTTAATCTACAAATTTGCTTCTAAAATACATAGAGTGTATTCTCCATTGACTGATCCACTCTGTAATGCCTAAGCCATGTAAATCAACCTCCATGACTCCAATTTGCACCCAACGGAAACCTGGATAAGCATTTAAAGAGTATACTCTTGCTGAAACTAACAGCAACTTGTGGTCACCCCATAAAAAGTTTGTAATCAGCCCAACTAAAGCAGTCTCATAGCCCCGTTAAAGACCCATCAATTAGCCGTTGATGATTTTGACACATAAAACTTAAGTCCGATCCGACTCGGCCGACACACAGAATGGCCACCCCCTTTTACACAGCCGATCAGCGATGGTGGATAAAAGCTGTAAAAAAGCCCCCCAAAGTCTCACAATGATGGCTGTAGTGTGTCCTTATCAGCTAAGATATGAGTTCCCAACCTCTTGAGCTTTCTCTTCTACAGAGATACTTTCTTGCGAGAAATGAAGCTGGTGTGTATTCATCGTTTCTCACTGGTGCAAAGCTTGATAAGCCTATTGTCAAGGATGATCTTGAAAAAGCCATAAACAGTCTTGTATCGCAGAGGAAGACTCTCCGATCAACTGTTGTTGATGGTAAGGTCCATGAGATTACGATTGTGCCATCAGATGTGACTCTGTACGTAACAGGTGACCAGGAGATGGAGGATTTGTTGAATGAAATCCACGAGACGAAATACCCCGTTGACCAGAACAAACCAATGTGGAAACTGTTTGTATACGGCAATTGGCTGATCTATGCCTGTAATCACATCTTTTCTGATGGTACAGGCTCAATTCTTGTTGTTGAAGACTTGATCAGGCTATTAAACGGTCAAGAACTCACGCCAGATGTTGATTTCTCGGCCAAATACGACAAAATCATTAAACCCTCGTGGTTGCATTTTACAAAGACGATTGTCAAGGAACTTTCCACTGTGGTGAAGTCTATTGGCAGTACAAAGAACGAATCCAGGGTCATTACTACACAGTCCTTCAAGACCCAAATTCGTATAATCAAGCTTGATAGAGGACAATTCCAAAAGATCAAGCAGTTCACCAAAAGGGAGGTGCTTTCATTTACAGAACTGTTAATGTGCTTGAACTACCTTGTTCTAGAACACCTCAGTGATGACCCACTCATCAAGATTGATATCCCCATAAATCAACGGAGAGCTCTTGGAGATGGTAGAGCATATGGTGCGTATGTATCGTCCATCGTGTTTGAATTACCAAGAGACATCAAGACATGGGGTGATCTCAAGAGCCAAGTGAAAATCAAGCAATCAAGTATCGAGAAGTCAGTCCAGGATGTTGGGATGTTGAAGTACATTGATATGAAGACATATATTGAAAGCAATGTGTCAAATGGCCTACAACCAAATCGTGTTGAAATCTCCAACTTAGGGTTGAGAGAGCACATCACGGGGAATTATACTGCTGATGAGTATATTTTCTCGCAGTCTTATAATCCAACACATGCAACGCTCAACAATTCTCTGATATCTTCAACAGATTGGACTACTATTGTTGTAACAGCACCACTAGAACTGCCTAACTTCAAGAGGTATTTCAAGTCGATTGAACTCTTATTTGAAAAACTCTCTGACCCATGTGAAGATATTACTGTTGAGGAACTCAGAGGTTACCTTGTTGATATATGAATAGCATTCTAGCTTTCTATTCTCATGAGACCATGCATGCATTTAGTTACTTCTGAATAAACCTGTGAGCGTAAGACACATTTTATCGTATGTAGCTATTGATCAATTTTTAGAATCAAACAAGGCAGAGTACACATTGAGATATGGATGCAACGTCATTATTGGTTACTTGCATCGACAGACGTGACTAATAAAAGAACTTTCAATACACATATCAAAATCGCCTATAAAATGTATTATCATATGTAGATTGCTTAATTAATAAACCATATCACACACAAGAACCAAGTCCCTGTTATTAAACGTCACATACTTCCCAGATAGTGTTGAAATTGTGGTGAGTTGATAACTTCCGCAAGCTCTTTCAAACTGAGGCGTGTTCTTCCGATGAATATATCAACAAATTTCTTGTCAGTGAGCTCTCCTCCATAGTAATCACCTCCATCGTAGTCCTCATCAGCTGGATCAGGTATATTGTAGAAACCGAAATAAGAATTTTCGTTGCTCATGGATGGACCACTTTCTCCTTCAGAACGGTACTTGAGATTGTGTAGTTTGTTAAACTGTATACACTTGTTCTCTATATGAGTGTCTGCAACAGTCTTTGCCCTCTTGTGACATGGCTCATGCGTAGCCTCTGGTGGATCTTCCATTTGTTCTAAAGTACGCTTGGTGTGGGCCCTTGCAGCCTCCTTCAATGGTCTTGCTTGTGGTTCAACAGTCTCTTTAGCATTCATCGCTATATAATTATCGCTTGGTATGGAAATAAACAGGTTGGAAAGAATTAAAGTGGGCAGAATTATGGCCCTCTTATATGTAACAAAAGCTAATGGTATACGCAACACCGCATCTTGATGGTTGGGGGAGGGGGCGAGCTTATCAGCTTATCGGCTTATGGCAATGGTGTGTGAACCGTATCTTACGTCGCTTTAATCTCAACAAGGGGAAGTCCCATATAAGCTATGCTTAGTGTGCAGTATGAAGGCAATCATACAGGATTCTATTAAAGGTTGACGCTGACGATTTTGAGTATACAACAGATGATAAGGATACTGATAACTGTAAAACCGCATTAAAATTTTGATCATTAGGAATAATGAGTCTTACAGTGTTATGGGTATATGATTCAGCTCCTGTGTAAGTGATGGAATTTCAGAACTTGGGAGCGTGTTACCTAGATTGGCTTAGTATTCCATGCTCTGTACAAGTAGGTTATTGGAAATAAGTCTGAATAGTATCCGTTCGCCCTCTGAGATTGCACCTATAATAGACGTTGAAACGAAAGAAAGGTATAACCTAGGACATGTTGCCTCCCTTTGCAGGATCTCAACATGTGTGGTGTAAGAGCCATGGATATCCATCAAGCCTACAACCATTTTCACACTGAAAGCCTGGTCCATCCTAGTGTATAGATCACGTTTTGATTATATTGTCAAAGACTCATTGAAGTCAGGGATACAATTGTGGTATTAAGGTGGCTAAAAGTGGACCAGTGCTTGTTCTCGAGTCTAATCACACGGTCTTATCTGGACACTTTACATCAGCAGCTGCACCAAAGAAATGAATACAGTGGTGGCCCTTTCACATTCATAGAGCCATAACACTCTTCATTGAAACAGCACAGCACATACCATCACAGAGTTTGAATTGCCCTTTGCTTCGGAGACTAAGTGAGGCCCAAGTTCTCCCCGTATTAGTGCCAAAAGTACATTTGTAGAACTCAGGTGTTCAGTGTCAGTCATGTTGGAGCTCACCGGTTCATTACAATCCATGTTCCCTTTTATGGTAAACCTAATTAGCATAATTGTTGAGGATCAAGATGGCTCCTTTTACTCTTGAATGAAGCAACGCTCTTCCAATATGAAATTAATAAAGCAAGCTCACTTCCCAATATATGTATTGAGCTAAAGATCTCTGTAATACAATTAAATATGAAGCTCTGCTAAGTGATATACATAGAATAGATATATTGATATGAAAAAGAGCTACTTGGCAGTAAACTCTGCCTGTAGAATGCGTCTTTTAGTGTCCCAGCTCTTCACCTTAGCGTCGTACTCCTCCTTGGACTCCCCATTCCAGCTTGTATTGTGAATTGGATGAGACTTTGGGAAATAAGTTTTCGCTTCATCACCGTATGCGTTTTGTCTAAACGTACCTCCTGGAACAGCGTACTCTTTACGGAAAAGTCCTCGCTTTTGAAGCTCTGGCACTATAAGATTAACAAAATCAGCTAGACTCTCATGGTTGACTGGGAAAATCAAGTTGAAACCATCAATGTCGACTTCATT